ATATTGGAAAAATCAATCGCAAGAAAAAAAACATTTTAATGGCCACGAGCGAAAACACAGATCAGAGATTCCCGCAAATTTTGTCATAACTACGACGCGTTTGCTCATCCGGGAAATCAATTTGCGAAAGATTTTCAAACGTTTTGAAGCTCTCTTAGAAATAAGACGTTCAGACGTCGATCTTTTTTGTGTGTGTGTTTTTTTGACGATAAGTTTGAATTTGCAGATTCTCATAAGTTCGTCCAACTTAACAAAATATACCAAATTAACAAAATATACCAAATTAACAAAATATACCAAAGTCAATGAATTTCTTTCTCTTCTATATTGCTATTAGAGCTCCGCTATTAGGTGTTTTGAATTAAAATTCAATTCATTTTCTCTTCACCATCTTTAAAGGTAGCACGGTTTTTCCGCATTATAGAGAGATATTGAGTTCTTGAAATGTTAAATGCTTGTGATTGATTGCAATCAGGTCAGTCAGTCACGTTGATTGCACATCAATTTTACAACCAATCATGCCGCGCTTCATATCGTAATTGATTTTTTTAGTAAATCCACTTTCTTGTTTGTTTAGGTGCAAGAAATTTGAAGTTCCCATAGAAAAAGCATACAACAAGACTCAACGAGAGAAGTTCGCCTGGGCAATTGATATGGCTACAGAAACCTTTGAATTTTAACACAATTTTCTAATCAAACTGTTTTAAAGAATTTTAGCTTTAGAATCTATTTACATAAATTTCTTCGATGGCCTTGTCCCAAGATGTTGGTTCTGCTGAACCAAAGCGAGGCTTTGGCTAGCTAGGTCGTAACATTTCCACGTGTTCACAGTGGATGAAGAAAATTGCTGAGCAAGCTAAAAATCAAAGGAAAAAGTTGTATTCAACTTCAGTTGTCATGCTTATTCAGGAATTATCGTCGAGAGCCTCGCTTTGGTTCTGCAAAACCAACATCTTGGGAAAAGACCATTAACACAAACTCATTCCCAACCCTGCTCTGCTCTTTTAAGGAKAGAGGGAATGGATATGAATCGCTTGCAAAGCAGTGTATTCTGCATATGTGCCTCATTCGAGAGTAGTTATTTATATGTCAATTCAAGCCCATTAATTTAATATTCCATTCAGGCAATATGCAAAGAAATTTTTTAATTTTAGTAATTTTAGAGTGGTTTTCATAAACCCGTGAAACAGAATGTAATAATTAGAGTGTAATAGATCGTAATAGTCGCGTAGAGACAATAAAAAACAAAAGAGCCAAAGTGTAATAGCGATAAATACGCTGAAGTGTGTTTCACGGGTTTATGAAAACCACTCTAGTGCATCACAGACCCCGATTATATGCTTGCAATTTGTATAATTTATTTCTGGGATATTAATTTTTATATAATGTTTATCAGTTTAACTCAATCGGCAGTAAACGCTCGTACAACACGAACCGCTTATTTTCTTCATCAGACTCTGTTCTTTCCTATGTGATTGTTAGCCATTCAACCGCCGAACTGGTTTGGCTAAGCTGCTAATGGTATCCCTTACAATGGACTACCAAACCAGCTTACCGAGAAACTTAAAGACTCTTTACAACCNTCCTCATGGATTACACGGCTGTGATTCAATTTGTAGCGTTTTCTTCAGCAACGATCTAAATTTCCTTTATTTTGCAGCTGCGATTATTGCAGCGTCTACCAAAAGCCCGAATACACCGTAAACTATGTATAGCTGCACTTTTTTTTGAATAGTGACCGTAGATATTATAGTGCTTGTACTTGTATATCGGCTGCAGTCCTGGTGGAATGTAGTCTTGACATAAATAAACGTATTTATGTATCTGTTGCACCATTTATAATATGAAAAATAGTCACTCAAAAAGGCTGAAAGTCTCTCGCCTGAGACTCGACATTTTCTTCGCCGCTTTTTGTGAACTCCAAACATCCCGAGTGATCTACACGGAAATGTATTCTTTATTTCTTTATTGTGTTAAGGCCGATTTACACGGTACGATTATTGCGTTCGACTTTGAACATACGATGAGCTCCAAATCGTACGACTTGCCTACAATATTCGAACGCAACCTTCGACTTGTAGTAGGATTTTCAAHCATGGCCTCTAATATAAAAACTAGACCCTGTATGCAGGGTTGACACGTACCCTTGTTGTACATGATGCTGTGAAAYCATTAGTAAATGAGGCCTAAAWAATGACTTGATCCTTCGAGCCYTGCCAAGATATAGAGTCAATTTCRTATGAGTGGAAAACGGACGGTACTGTACTGTAACCGTAATCGTACTGTTACCAAATTCTAGTGTCTCATTGCTTCACAAAAATTGTGCAGGCCAGGTCGTAACCCTGCGGTAATTTCTACCGTACGTTTCCCACTCATTCGAAATTGACTCTATATGATTTCGCCCAAATCTGCCTCGGTCACGCCCAGCGCATAACTCGATGCAACTAAAGTAACTTACTGTGTTCGAGTTACGCGCTTTTAAACCAAAATCAATATAAAAGAGAGCTCATTGTTTTTACGGCTTTTGTTTTTCAAGGAAACGAAGGAAAAGACTCCTCTTTTACGAAAGATAATTTTATTAGACATTGAAATACGTCAAGGACAAGTTTTAAAATTATAAAATGGCAGCCCTTAGGCTTCAAATTACAAGAATTAGTGCAAAAAGCCGGTAATTGAAAATAGATATTATGCTAATATGTACAACTTCATGCCCAAGAAA